CAAATCAGCTTTCGAGCTTTGCCGGTGCCTCCATGATAAAAGTTACCATTCTACATTTTGCATGATAGCACTTCATGTCTAAGACAGGTTCAAAGAGAATTTACATTATGTTGTGTTATAATATTTAGTAGGTTTACACACTGCTTTTTGAACTGAGTCCTCCATGTGGTTCACGATCTTTATAAAGGACAGCCAATACATTAAAAGACAATATATTTAAAACTAAACTAAACTAAAAAAACAGTCTAGATGGAGTAGGAGGATAAATGTGGGTCACATCAACACTGTTCATTTAAAGCCTATGGCTTTTCACAAAGAATCCTGGGAACTGTAGTTTGTTAAGGGTTCTGGCAACTGTGTGTGGTCCCACTAAATCAACATCTGGCTTCCTGTAGCGACCAACCAGATTCCTATGGGAAGCCCACAAGACAGTAAAAGGTAAAGGGACCCCAACCGTTAGGTCCAGTCACAGACGACTCTGGGGTTGTGGCACTCATGTCGCTTTATTGGCCGAGGGAGCCGGCGTACAGTTTCCGGGTCATGTGGCCAGCATGACTAAGCCGCTTCTGGCGAACCAGAGCAGCGCATGGAAACGCCATTTACCTTCCCGCTGGGAATAGGTATTACCTATTTATCTACTTGTACTTTGATGTGCAAAAATTAGAGAAGTGTGAAAACCAAAGGATAGCTTTGTTCCAATCTGCATGTTCGTCTGAGAAGATCTAATTTAGTCTGTTGGCTAAAAAATACCCTGCTGATTGCAACGGCCAATGTTTTACATCCCTGATCCCAAAAGTAGGGGATCCATGCACATTTCTTTCCTGCCTTTTACTACTAGAATACATTTTCAAAGCAGCCATCAACAGTAATTAAAAACAATCAATTAAAAGGTATAAGAAAAATCAAGAAGCAGCAATAAAAAGGCCAGTCGTAAAACAATCATCAGTCATAAAAACACTAATCAGTAATAAAACAGCAAGAGCACTGTTAAAATATTATCCATTAAATCGTGTCCTCCCTAAAAGAAGGCACGTATTGCGGTGAGATCTGGAGACTGACTTCCTGGTTGTGGGTGGGTCTATTGGATAGCCACAACACCTGATTGGTAGGTCCCTCGTTGCTGGGTTTAATCTGGCCAATGGGACTCAGTCCAAACGGTTTGAGGGACCTATATAAACCCATGCACGTGACCCAGAGCTTCCTCTTTTGGCTCGTGCATCGGAACACCCTCCCACCTCTCCCTAATTTTAGGTCATCTTGTGATTGACCTTGCTATGCCATCGAGTGTCATCTGTCGTTGGGACAGGGGCACAGCAGGAATTTTCCCCACTTGGCTGATTGGCTGTAGCCATTTGGGTTTTTGCCTGCTGTGTAGCAATTCGCTTTTTCCTGTAAGACCAATTGCAGTCATTAACAGTCGTCAACAGCTTTACCACACCTATCAGCCAATCACCTATTCCCACCACCCTGCTGAGTAATATCCCTCCCTACCCTCTCACTATATATAAGGGCCTGGTGACTTCTGTTTCAGTGTATCTGAAGAAGTGTGCATGCACACGAAAGCTCATACCAAGAACAAACTTAGTTGGTCTCTAAGGTGCTACTGGAAGGATTTTTGTGTGTGTGTGGTGTTGTTGTTTAGGAGAGGTAAGGCAGATGGGTTTTTTAGAAGAGGTGCCATTGGCACATGTAACTCTAATTACGGTTTCCCCAATCTCATCCATTCCCCCTTTTCATTTCAGTTCCAAGTGCTATGCCTCAGAATGTCTCCTTGGAAGTAGTGAACTCAAAGGTAAGTCAGGGTCCAGCACCCTAACTTGAAATGATCCAGATTTGTGTCTATGCCTACTTATGTACAAACACACGCACGGGGGGGAGATGACTTATTATTACAATTATTTTACTATTAGGCTGTCTGACAGTATGCTTTTTTACTGTGTTTTTATTATCTTTTTAGCATGGATGTTTTATGATGTGTTTCTAATGTTGTACTCCATCCTGAGATCCTTTGATAAAGGGTGGTATATAACTTGAATTGTTGTTGTTGTTAACACTGTTTGATAGTATGAATATGCATGGCTAGATGCTTCTGGAAGCCAACACCACCACCCCCAACCACCACCACCCGGTTGATTGAAGCGCATGAAGGAGGAGTGGACCTGCCACTGCCCAACCTTCAGTCCTGCACATGGTTTTGTTGGAAGGGCTCCCTGTTTCTGAATTTTGTATTGTGCAGCTGTCACAGGTTGCAGGTCATTAGCATGGCAGGAATAAGCAAAACAAAGACTCATTTGCGGGTTGAAACAGGCCACAGCTTTATTTGGTTTTATACAATGGGGAAGCAGGCTTGTCGAGGGAGTTGGGTAAGGATCTGGTCTTCATTCCACCAGCCCTTGCTGTTCAGATGCTTGTTGTTGTCTGTTAGCTAGGAAGCAGCCAGGGGAGTTGGCCCGTGTTAGAGCCCGATGTGGCTCAGGCTAGGCATCTGGGATCTCACTGTGGTGGCTGCTGTGCTTTTCTCTCATCAGACCCCTTATGTCCACCCCCACTTAGATTCTGCCCAGTTTGTTCACTGATTGAATGATCAGTTTAGCAAGGCATTGAATTCTTGGATTACCTGTGTCCTAAATTTCAAGTTTCTGAGTGCTTTCCATTTTGTGCTCTGTGATACGAAAGATAGCCTTTCAGGCTTCTTTTGCAACTCAAATGTATTGGGCTACATGTGCACCAGTTTTCATTTTTCTAGCTGGTGTGTTGTAATAACTCAGACCTCTTAGGGTGCACTTTGTTTTGTGGGAGAAATGCCCCATTTTTAGATGTTTTTGGAAATGATTCAAACTTTCCTGGAGATGCATATACCACCATAATTTTGGAAATATTGATCATATCTGAATATTCCAAGTGAGAGAGGACAGCTCCATTTCTTTTTGCTTGCTTGCTTTTCTTCTCTTTTTAGATTTTTGTTCTTTTCCTTTTTTAATATTTTTAATTAATATTCTCCTGTGATGATATGTAGCAAAACCATTCTGCGTCAAACATCCTTGCTTCTCACGCCAAAGAAGAAAGCACGTGAAAATTTTAAAAGCGAAAATAAAAAAAGAGAAGCAAGAAAATGACATATGTAGAGGGGAGAGGAACAATGTAACAAGAACTCTATAACGCAATGGATAAATTAACTTTTGCTTTTCTATGCCAGCTGAAAACAAGGTTGTTCACTCAGGGATTTACTGGATGTTTCTGTCTAGACTGGGTACTAAAATGTAGTTCACTGTCTTTTAATGGTGTCTGCTTTACTGATCTGTTTTAATGGCCCTAGTTTTATCATATGGTTGTATTGATTAACAATTTGGATTTTTTTTTCTCTTATGGTTTTATTCTTATGGTTTTAGATTGCTTATTGTACCCTACCCTGGGGTCCCTTGTGATGCTAGAAACAAAATAAATATATAAATGAGCAAAAAATGCCGCTCATTCAGCAACAGATTCAGAGGTTTTGGAGGAGAGAGGAGAGACTAAGGCCATTTAAGGATGAATTAATTTGGCGAGGGGCTGGCAGATCAGTCCAAACCCTCTTTGCACTTAGCTGAAGTGTGTGGACTTGGTGGAGGTCTCCCTCTGCTAGCCCTCCTGGCTCCGTCCTTCTCTTGCCTGCATCATTACACTGGTGTAGAGCTCACCGTTCCACCTGCCAAGTGGGCGGAAGTGCGGCTGGCCAGCTCCCCACTGATGGCAGCCGGTGGATAGCTCTAAAATGGGGTGTAGATGTGATGATTGTCTAGCTACTCCTTAAAGCCCCACCAGACTGGAGAGGAGTAGGGTGGGATTGCTCCCTACCAGCCACTGCCTGGACATCCTCCTGGTCCCTCCCAGTTTTAGTGTATAACTTAATACTTCCCCAAAACTACTGAGAGCATTCTTCTAAGACAACCTAGCATGGTCCCTGGGCACTTGCGGGAAAGGAAAATGGCAGGCAGCCATCGCTCAAAGGATCTCAATTGCAACAGCAAGTTCTCCCTAAATGTTGCCAGCAGTGGTGGCTGCTCCATTAGGGCAGATGGGGCACTACCCTACCAACCTCAGCCTGCCATCACTTCCCTGTGTTCTTGCAACCTCATTCTCCTTAGTCTCAGCGTTGATCTTGCAGAACTCAGCCAGGAGGAGGACAGGGACAAAACAAAATGAAATTGTTCATTGGCTCTGGTTCCTCGCCAACTGCCCTACCAGCTCCAGTGGGCACCATTCATCCCTGGTTGCTGTTGACGTTGCAGGTCTGCTTTGACACATTTCTTCCTGCAATTCAGGCAGGAATGGATCATATAATCGTAGAGTTGGAAAGGGACCCAATGGTCATCTAATCCAACTCTCTGCAATGCAGGAACCTCAGCTAGATCATGCATGACAGTTGGCCATCCAGCCTCTGCCTAACAACCTCCAATGAAGGAAAGTCCACAATCTCTTGAGGGAGACTGTTCCATGGGAACACTTTCAGCTCAGCACTAGCAAAGGCCAAAGGTATAGAAACGTACCTGGCGATAAGCAGACTATTTCTCAAATACTTGCTCTAAATTTGCCAGGAAGCTATTTCTGTTGATTACCTATTTATCCTTCCTCATTAGTTCCATTGGCCATCCCAGCTGCCAATGGTTGTTTGTGATAGAAAGAAGCAGGGGAGTCATTATGTACTTCCAGTGTGCATGCACACACACACACACACACATTGCATGAGGTGAGATGTCGCAGGTACCAGAGCGACAGTTTAATAAAACCACCCTGTTTTGCTAGAACTTGGGCAGATGTGGGTAGTTATTAATTGCTGGAAACAACAAGACTTTGCAAGGCAGTTGCTGACACTAAAAGACAGACAAGAGAATGGCTTCTTCTGATACTTTTAATGAGGCATCACTCATGTGGCACACTTGATGTTGCAATCTGGAATTTATAAGGGAATAATAGCTTTCGAGTGTAGACATTAAAGCATTCCTTGCCACCCATAAAGCCGCTCATTTGTGTGCTGGAAGCCATGAAAAGATGTCCTCCTGGAAGAAAAGAAAAAACGTGAAGAAGTTGTTTTTTCTCAAACCAAATAATGAAACTCATTAATTGCCTTCTGTACTTTCTGGCTCTTAAGAGATGCCTCCGCCCAACTGCGGCTTAATTATTCAAGTCCACATTTCACTGATGAATCAGCGGGGACCAGCAATGTCCCTAATTATGCATAAAGTCTATAGAGTGAAATGAAGGTTGGCCTTAGATGCTGGCGAGGCAGGGCAGGCTGTGGTTTTGCACAAACCACAACATCATGTTGTGCAACTGAAAGAAGCAAGGTGTACTTTTTAAAAACAAACCAAGAAACCACCAGCTTCTACACTCATTCTAACTAATCTAGCTGGAGGTCCCTTTATTTCTAGAGGCCCGCATATCTTCTTGCAACTTATCTTTGGTATGCTTGAACAGATGAAGCTACCTTAAGTCAGGCATTGGTCACCTTAACATTTTCTGTGCTGACTGAGAGCAACTCTCCAAGGTTTTTTCCCAGATAACTGGAGAAACCAGCTCCAGCTCCTGGTCCACTTTCCATGCAACACATGTGCTCTACCACACTGACTTTAGGTATGCAATCCTGCAATCTACAGCTGTGTGAAACCAGAGTGATGTCAGGGGCCTCATATGGGGAATCTGCAAGATTCGCCACTGCCTCCCTGTGCTCCTGGGGCTACTGCTGGCAAACCTTTCTCTTCCCATAAATTCCTAAAAATAGCAGAATATGCAGTCACTTTGCTGCCTGCTCTATTCATCCTACACAGCCTACCTCTGTCTACACACTGTAATATACTTGCAGGATTCTCATTTTCTCCCACAGCAGGCAGAGACAGGCATCATCCTATCCTGGATCTGTGAAATCAACAGGCAGGATCTCCAAGCAAGATTTGGTTTCAGTGATGCTTTAGGAGGCGATGCATTCCTCCAAGTATTATGGAGCCATTAGTTGTCTGTGGCTCCAGAAAGACCATCCATTTAAAGCAGACGACTCCACCCAGTGGAACCTTGGAACTGTAGTTTGCCTCTCTGAGCTGCCATTCCCAATACTGTTAACAAACTACAGTTTCTGGGATTATTTGGGGGTGTCATGTGCTTTAAATGGATGGTATGTATGCAACCAATAGGTAAAGGTAAAGGGACCCCTGACCATTAGGTCCAGTCATGGCCGACTCTGGGGTTGCAGCACTCATCTCGTTTTATTGGCTGAGGGAGCCGGCATACAGCTTCCAGGTCATGTGGCCAGCATGACTAAGCCACTTCTGGCGAACCAAAGCAGCGCACGGAAATGCCATTTACCTTCCTCTATTTATCTGCTTGCACTTTGAGGTGCTTTTGAACTGCTAGGTTGGCAGGAGCAGGGACTGAGCAACGGGAGCTCACCCGGTCGCAGGGATTCGAACCGCTGATCTTCTGATCGGCAAGCCCTAGGCTCTGTGGTTTAGACCACAGCGCCACCCGCGTCCAACCAATATCAGTGGGGAATTCTCTTCAGCCTGAGGGCTGTGTTTTCTTCTGAGCAACTTCCTGAGGGGCGCTTGCCAGTCGTGGGTGAGACCAGAGGCATATGTGGATGTGGCACTGAATGCAAATTTTGCCATTTTACAGTTGCTTAGTTTCTATGCATACTTCAACAGCACGCTTTGTCCTCCCGCATTCGAGCTCAAGGACACGTTCAAGCCAGGTAAAAACCCTCAAGGAGGCCATTGCAGGTTTGGCTGGGAAGGGGGTGTGGCCCGAGAAGGGTCCTGAAGGCCAAATGGAGAGGCCTAGGGTGCTGTGTTTGGCTCCTAGGCCTGAGGTCTGCCCCTTCCATCTATATAGCTTTCACCAGTGCAGATGATAATGTCCAGGACACAATAGCTTTATGACCTAGAAGGTCAGGGACTAGTTGAATGCAGAGGGATGGAGGGAGGAAGCCGCTGGGCAGAAGGGCAGAAGACTCAGAGCCCAGAGAATGGTGGGATGACAATGAACGGTCAGAGGGAGAAGATGGAGAAGCCCAGGAAAAGGAGGTGTCAGAAGCTGAAGGAGTAACAGGGCTTAGTGAGCTGGGAGAGTTTGTGGAGCCTTCAACATGTGTCCCTGCACTCTTCGCAGTAACTTGAATAGAATGCATTTAGAATTCTACACCAGTTTGTGGAACATGGCATTCCTCAATTGATCATAGTGCCTTTGCTCTCTCTGCAAGCAAACAATGTCTGTTTCACAGCAGTAGTGCCAATGGAATACGGAGTTGGCTGGACTTGGCATAGTGTTACATGCAAAGTAGGTATTCTAAATATACCAATGAATGCTTCTGGGCTGCCATGTTGGTTGGCTGAGTCTCTGCATCAAAGCGCTCTTGCCCATGGGATGGAACTGGGCAACCTGCCACTGCTTTGTAATTAAGAGCTATAGGATATTACGTGTCAAACTTGGCTCCTGCACAGCTGAAGATGGAGATCAGGCAAAGCAAGGATAAAGGAAGCTTGTATCCTGGATCCATAGTGGTCAGGGAGCATCACCTCATCAGGTGTCAGTTTTGTCTGATCTACCTGGAGTTTTCTCTTAGTTAAGGCTGAGTGTTGGTACACAATTTTCTCCTGACATCCCTGAATACTCTGGTTCAAGGTTCTTTCTGTGTCCTTGACTATTTTCCCCAGACGATGCAAAATGACCACCTGCCTCTTTCTTGGGTATACAGCTAAAATCTTTCCATTGTGTTTTCAGACACCTTGGTGCAAAGAGATTAGAGCTTTTCTCTTGAGGGGATGATGATGATTTTTATTTTTTTTAAAGAATTATGTGGGCAAAACTACGCTCCACTTGCAAATATAAGAACACCTTGTTTGAACTCCTCTTCTTCATCTGGAAATTGTGAGGGATGTACACATCTTACAACTGATTTATTTATGAGTGGCAAAGACAATCAATCAAAAAGCCTCTTACATAATTCTTCTTCCACTGCACTGCAACACATTTTGGCTTCCCGAGCGTGTATCTGGAGACGCGCCAATGAGGCTGCACGGCACTTATCTTTAAAACTGGAATAAAAATATATTAAAAAAACAAGTGAGAAAAGAAATATTCATAAATTGAAATGCTGCAAAATAATTCATGATGCATAGTCTCAGAAGATATGGATTTTTCCTTCCCCTCTCTCGTGGTAATAAAGAAATATTCTCAATTTAAGTTCTAAATGTTGACAAGACTTCCTGCTGGGTGCGAGGAATGTTTTCCCCAGACCTTTACTAAAGTTATTTTACTTGATTTTAGATTTATTGATCTCTGATCCCTAGAGTTCAGAGGAGATTGTATTTTCTTTGACTGTGTGGTTATGGAGTTGTGCTACTAATAACAGCAATGGGAATCTGTAAAGTCATTTATCATCTATGGCAGGGTTTCTCAAACTTCACTGACCCCTTGGTGAGCTCATGAAGTTGTCATGGACCCAAGCTCATATTCTTAGGAATGTAAATGAAATAAAGCCAGGAGATATCAACATTTATTAATTATCCATCTCTATTACTAAGAGTTATAAAATGTGAAAAAAGGAAAACTGTTGTATTGTGATCTTACTAAACACAGATGTTTGTCACTGGCAATGGAAGTGCACACTCTACCTGCCCGTGTCCCTTATTTCTGAGGCTCATAGTTCCTTTTTTCTTTTTGGCATTATACTACTTAAACTTCTTTTCCATCCCTAGGCCCCTTTTGACTCCCTTTCAACCCCTAGGTCTTTATTCATCCCCTAGCACAGTCCAATTGAGCCTTGAGGATCAATATCAACCACTTTAGAAAAACCCTGATTTATTGTCTAGGACAAGAAGTACACTCAAACTTGTCAGGTGTTGAGATCCAAAATCTAATCTTTGCTTCCTAGACTCTCAGGGAAGGAACAGGGCTGCCATAGGACGTTTTGCTGCTAAGGCAAAGGACGACACCCCCTCCAGCTGGCCGGACCGAAAGCTGAATCTTACTTTGATATCAGTGACAGGATAGCATCTTCTACCATATGAGGTCAGATTAGGGGTCCCAGAAGAAACTGTGAGGCAAATGGAACAGCCTGGTGCTGCTGAGCCTTCTCTTCCTCAGCATCTGATGCCTGAGGCCCTTGCTTTACTCTGCCTCATGACAGGGCCGGCCCTGGATAGGAAAACAACCAAACACCAATTATTGAGATTGGGGTAAGCAACACTGCAACCTTCAAATGCTGTGGAATTACAATTCCCATTAGTCCCAGCCGGCAAGAATGATGGGAGTTGTAGCCCCATAGCATCAAGAGGGCATGAAACTGCTGGGAGAGATCATCAGGGGGGTTGGGCTGGGTGTCCATCAGTATGTGGATGATACCCAGCTCTACCTCTCTTTCAAATCAGAACAAGTGAAGGCGGTGAAGGTCCTGTGTGAGTGCCTGGAGGCAGGTGGAGGATGGATGGCAGCTAACAGATTGAGGTTGAATCATGACAAGACAGAAGTACTGTTTTTGGGGGGGACAAGAGTGGGTGTGTGGGTGTGGGGGACTCCCTGGTCCTGAATGGGGCAACTGTGCCCCTGAAGGAGCAGGTGCACAGCCTGGGAGTCATTTTGGACTCACAGCTGTCCATGGAGGCGCAGGTCAATTCTGTATCCAGGGCAGCTGTCTACCAGCTCCATCTGGTACGTAGGCTGAGACCCTCCCTGCCTGCCGGCTGTCTTGTCAGAGTGCTCTGGCTATCTGACTACTGCAATGTGCTCTATGTGGGGCTACCTTTGAAGGTGACCCAGAAACTACAATTAATCCAGAGTGCGGCAGCTAGACTGGTGACTGGGAGTGGCCACCGAGACCATATAACACCAGTCCTGGAAGACCTACATTGGCTCCCAGTATGTTTCCAAGCACAATTCAAAGTGTTGGAGCTGACCTTTAAAGCCCTAAATGGCTTTGGCCCAGTATTCCTGAAGGAGCATCTCTACCCTCGTCGTCCAGTCCAGACATTGAGGTCCAGCTCCGAGGGCTTTCTGGTGGTTCCCTCCCTGTGAGAAGTGAGTTTACAGGGAACCAGGCAGAGGGCCTTATCAGTAGTGGCACCTGTCCTGTGGAACGCCCTCCAACCAGATGTTAAGGAAATAAACAACTATCTGAATTTTAGAAGACATCTGAAGGCCAGATGGGCAGGATATAAGTAATAAATCAATTCTTCTTCTTCTTCTATTATTTTATAAATGGTCTTTTGTATTAGGCATGTATTCCTAAGGTAAACATCCCTTCCCTTAATGAAAATTAGTGACGGACTAAACCTTTCCCCAGCCTTCATTTAGGCTTGGCTTTCAGAAAAGCAAGTTGTTTTCCTGAAAGGCTAGAAACTCACTCAGGCTGACATCATCAGGAATCCCACAGGGTTTTTGAATCCATTCCCTCTGCCTTTATTTTTTAACAAGACATGGAAGCGGCCAGGCACACCTTCACCCTCAGACTTGCTGAAACATTTGGTTATCACTGTGGACAAGCAGAACCAAATGAAGGTAGAGACACGGAAGCCTCTTTATAATGAATCAAACAATTGCCAGGTGGAGGCACCTAACTCAATATTGTCTACAAACAGGGTGGCTAAAACTTTTTTAACCAGAAGGCTATGTTCACCCCTAGCCAGTTCTCTGAGGGCTGCATGCCAGCAATGGGCAGATTATAGTGCTGGGCTGATCCCTCTCAAAATTAATTGACTGATGTTCAGCAGTGCCAACCAGTGGCGAAGGAAGGCTCACCAGCACCCAGTGCGAGGTGTTGAGGGGCGGGGTGAACTGTCGGAACTTGCGTTTGACCGAGCTACTCCTCCGGTCGAGTCCTCCGACGGTGATTAACGACCAGAGCCTTTGATGAGGATCCAGGCACGTTCCCTCATTATGCAGAGTATCCAAGCAGCAGGAAGATGAGAAATATGAGCTACATTGCTAAGAGTTTTATTTCTAACTACACAGACAGAAAAGAAATATGCATCCTCTCTCTGTGAAAGCAGAGAGGCAACTGGTACAAAGAAACAGGAAACCAGTAATATCAACATCCATCTCCAGTCTCCCGTGAGACTTCCAACAGTCTGGAACCACTGGAATGTAAACAGAGTCTTGTGATTCCATGCACTGCACAGTGGCACAAACAGAAACCTAACCGCCCTGCGGTGCATGCATGACACCGATATGAACAGTTCATGTGCAGCGCTGATATGGACAGCACCGCTTGAGCACTGCTGATATGGACAGCACTTGAGCGCTTCCCATAACAAAAGTGTGCACGTGCCTTCGGCCACCCTACAGTGAGTGTAGCCCTCGGCTGCCCACCATTTTGTTACCCCCCTTCAGGGTGACAGGGGCAGACCACCACCCCCGCCCCCCTTCCTATGCCCCTGGTGCCAACTTGAATAAAATATTTGGCATAATCGATCACCATACGTGATGCACACACACTGTTTGAATGACAACGCCCATCAACTTTGGGGGGGTAGTCCTCTCAAATATTTTATTGGGGTGTGTGCAAAAGGACCTCAGCTCCTAGGAGTTGTCTCCTATGCCAATGCTGTCCTAACAATTCTTTCAGAAAGCCAGCATTAGCATAGACTGTTTCTATTCAATTCAGCTGATACAGAGGCTCCCAGAAATAGTGTGAAATGTTTTTTGGGTGTTGTTGTTGTTGTTGTTGTTTTGAAATTAGTAGAAGCTAGTGTTTTATTGCATTTTTCTGACAGTATGGGAAATGTTTTATATGAGGAAGGGGGTGGGCAGCTGCGGAGGTAGGGCTTTTCATACTGCAACTTGACAGAATGATTTGCCTGTGCAAAGGCATAAAGTTTTGGGGAAACTACCATAAAACTCATTATGTACCAGATTGGGTATGTTACCCTCAAGTGAGAGCTTTTGTGTGAAATCCTTCAATTCTTTATTCCTCTGATCAAAAACAATGAGGTTTTTCTGCTTCCCTCTCCCCGCCCTAGTTTCAGATAGAGCAGAGAGGGAGCAAAAATAAGGTTGTCAGAGATCAAAACCCTTCCAAACATGACTTTTATTCCTTTGACAGAGCAGCTGAAATTTTCACTTGGGGCACTTTGCGTTTAAGTGGATGATTTTCCTATTCTGTTTTTAAACAGATTGGCTATTTCTTACAAAAAGGGTCCCGTTGGAGTGCAGAAATTCTTCAGAACTGTTTTCAGTCTAATGAGAGGAACTGAATATTTTTTTCAGAACCAAGCTAACCAAAGTTCTCATAAATTGATCCACCAATTAAAATTACCCATAACTTCATTCTGGGAAGACCTTTTGTTGATTAACTGAGACATTCATTACTGTTTTCGCTGCTGGCAAGGAATCCAAACTCCTGGCAGTCGATACGGAAATAAATAGTGGAAATATGTGAAGGGCTAACTATGTGAAATTGCGGAATTTCATGCACCTGAGAGAGTTTGGAGTTCAGTTATCCTAACAAATGATGTCAGGGTTTTTTTTAATCAATTATTATTATTTTTTACAGGATTTTCAAGGTCTTTTACTATGGGCATTACATTCCCAGTAGTCTTGCGGAAAGCGCTGCCAAATTAAACATTTTGCATTTGCCACACTTGCAGTGCAATCTTGATTGATAAGTAGAATGTTGTGTTGGTTTTGCAGAAGTATTAACAAAAAATAGAAAAATAAAATAAATCCCCACTTAATGAAGACTCTGTGGCTCTTTTCTGTGTGGAAGCACACGTGGGTTCGATGATAGTGAGGAGCTTTGCAGTGGCTGTGCTTGTTCTGTGAGGTGTTTTTATTTCCTTTATTTATTAAATTTCTATCCTGCTCTTCCTCCCAAGCTATCTGCATTGACAAGATAGCTGCCTGCTTACTTGACCCCAGCCATCAAATGCTGTGGAAACTAATTGTGTAGGATAAGATTGCAAAGTATTTTCTGCCTTGAGTGATGCAGAGTGCACACTTAGGACCTAGTTAATATTTAACAATAACAGAAGTACTCATGAAAAATTACTTCTGCCCTTGAAAAAAATGAAGAAAAACCATCAGTCTGGTTTTTGCTAATCTTATTATGCGATTTGCTCCTGGATTGCTTCCTGTTCTTCCAGGATGCCCATCAGGAGCACGGACAGTCAGACCATACCTAGAGTAATGTGTTGAGTTCTGGGCATCACAATTTAAGAAAGGTATTGACAAGCTGAAATATATGCAGAGGCTGGCAACCAAGATGATCAAGGGTCTATGTCAGGAGTGTGTGCAGTTGTCAGGTCCTGTGACCAGTAGGACTTTGCAGGCCTGGGGCCTTCCTAAGTTTGTTCTGAAGAGGCAAGGCGCGGCTGCACAGGTGAGGCCGATTGGTAACTTACAGCACTTGGTGGCAAGAGCCGGGAAGGGATATAAGGTCAGCATTTTCCCTTCGGCTTTTTGCCACAGCAACACGTTACCTGCCTTGCTGAGTTTGGTTCCTTGACTCCTTGCTTCTTGATCCTTGGACCCTTGACTTCTTGACTCCCTGCTCTCTGACCCTTGGACTCTTGACTTCCTGACTCCTGGCTTCTGGACTCCCATTCCTGCTCCTACCCCGCCATCTTGCCCCCGCCCCCGACATCCCCACCCTGTGAACCAGACCGTGACAGTCTGGAAAACAAGTCTTATGAGGCATGGTTGAGGGAGCTGGGTATGTTTAGCCTTGATAAGAGGAGACTGAGAGGATATATGACAGCCAACTTCAAATATCTAAAGGGTCATCCCTTTAGATGACCCTCCATGGAAGATGGAGTAAGTTGGTTTTCTCCATCTCGGGAGATTAGAACCTGAACCCATGAATTCAAGTGGAAAGAAAGGAGATTCCAACTCAACATCAGGAGAACTTTCTGACAGTAAGAGCTGTTTGACAGTGGAACAGTTTCCCTCAGAAGGTGGTGGACTCTCCTTCCTTGGAGGTTTTTAAGTAGAGGTTGGATGGCCATCTGCCATGTTTAATCTGTTAGAGATTCTTCCATTGCAAGGGGATGGACTAGATGGCATTTGGGGTAGCTTCCATCTTGATAATTCTACGCTTCTGTGACAGCCATGTGGCACAGAAATGCCAGATGTTTCCAGTGGATGAAGGTTGGGAATAACATGGCTTGACATCTGTGTTTGCTGACTTCTGTCAATGGAAGGGAGGTGATATACTGTAGCATCGACCAGCTTGTCACAATGCATTTTTGCTTCTCTCTCTGAAGACTGGTCACCTATTAAATTTCTAATAAACTCTCATGTTGCAAATCCATCCAAACTGATCATACTGTATTGGCAGAGCACTGCTGGCCTAGCTCCAGTGATTAATGCCTTTTCAAGCAGGATGAATACTGAGGATCATCAAGCTACTTATCCAGAGCTCTTTGCAGCATGGATCACCCGACCAGTTTGTGGTCCATTACACTTTCTCTGGCACTTATGCATAATTCTTCTCCCTCCTGAATCCGCATTAATCTGTGTATATTATTAAACCCGCCCCCTCAATACATGTATTTAAATGTGCACTTTATTATGAAAATGCATACAGGCAATGAGCAATTGATGCATGTGCGATTGACGTGCTATTGCAAATGCGCACATAGCATTGAACCAGGAAGTGACCTGAAAATGTCACTAAATGTGAGGAATGAGGCTGGGGTGGGACAGAACTTGAAGGCGTTACGTGGGCCCTGCCAACACACACATGGGTCTGGAATGTAACCTCTGCACAAAACAAGGATTGTCTGTATTTCAATGCATACATTTGAACAGTGTCACAGCACTAAACTATGTCACAACACTGAGATAAGGGCAACAGCCAGTGGATTGCCAAGTGTGCTTGAAGGAAACAGGGAGTTTCCTGCATTGCAGGGGGTTGGACACTAGATGACCCTTAGGATCCTTCCAGCTCTACAATTCTGTGATTCTAGATTAAGGAAAGTAACATGAAGATTGGATTAGTGCAATATACCACCTTCCAAGGTCGTGCGTTCCACTGTTGAACATCTCTTTCCATCAGAAACTGATTCATAATGTCTAGTTAGATTCTCCTTTCTTAAAATTTGAATCCATTGGTTCGGGACCTACCTGTTTCTCATTATGGTTGGTTTCCAGGTGCTTCATATAGAAAATTACACATACTGAATTCATGAAAAACCACTACCATGCACATCTAACACACACACATGGCTCCTCCATGAATGCGCTCCATCATTTATTTCAACAGTTGCTGGGCTTGCTCATCCCATTTTTGAGAGCTGTCTCTGGACATTTCCATCAAACCACCAAATATTTACACCACCTGTCTTAAGGTTCAACTAATTCAAGACTGAATGGCTTCTCTCTTGTATTACATGCATATCTCTTGAGATGTGAGGAGAAAACCAAATATTATGATAGCCTCTCACTTGCCATGTTAAGAACTTAGTACCTCTCCATCATGAGAAAAGTTTGCACAACCTCCATTGCAGAGATTTTCCCTGCATGCATTACTGTGGCAAACAGCACGTGCAGCTGCGTTGCCACATCAGGCATGGCTGAGTACTCACCTGAGAATGGTCACGATTCACCCTAGGTGAACAAGCAAGTGGAATTTGCAAAGGTATTCTAAATGAGGCACAACATTTTGGAACTAAATCATAACGTTAAAACACGCACGTGCACACACACGCACAAAGCATATTTTAAAGCTCAAATCTGCATTGTCTTTATATATATTTCCTCTTTTTCCTTTGCTGGATAAGCAAGGGTTAGCAATGGATTGGAGAAGTATGAGATAGCACCAGTGGAAAGGAACAGGGCAAATTGCTTCTTTTCATTGAATTCCGTGCCACCTTTAGCCTTGGAGATTAGTATCCCTGATCAAGAGCAAGTAAATTACATGGGTGGTGTAATTAACTCCTGTTGGCTCTGTGTAACTATTACTGAAGGGAATCCACTGATAATAAACCTACCTGAGTCTTTGCTTCGAACATTTAGCACAGTGGCTAAATGATCTGCATCTCCAACCATTTTTTTTTAAAAAGGAGAGAGCAAGAGAGACAGGAACAGTGTCGGAGGAACCCTCTCTGGCACCCGGGGCGGGACGCTGAGGGGCAGGGCAAACCACCCAGCAGCGCACGCATAACATCCATACAGACTGTGCACGCACAGCATCCCGTACGGTCGCTGTGCAAGAGGCAGCCCGGACGCCGCACAAGCAGCGCCCATACTGACTGTGTGCGCGCCCTCGGCCGCTCTACAGCTAGGGGGAGGCAACGGGCCATCTTGGCACACACACCCCGAGTGGTACCTGGGGCGGACCGACCCCTCCACCCCCCCTCTTCGTATACCCCTGGACAGGAAGACAGACTGGTGGTTTTGATGCCAAAAAAGAGGAAGCACATAGTAATTTTTTTATACCCATGAGATTCTGGGGAGAAGACTTGAGCCCCCCACTTCCTCAAATCCTTTATTTATTTATTTATTTATTTATTTATTTAAATGTACACAGACATGTGCATATCCAGACAGTCAACAAGTGGCCTAGTGTGATCTCTGAGCCTCAGGCAGCAAGATCCACCAGGGCAGCAAATCCCGATGTCAATATTCACACACACCCCTTGTTCCTGATGTAGATCTTCACTCACCCCTTCTTCCCTGGTGAGGTAGGCACCATTTCGGGGTTCACCTCAGGTGTCAAAATGTCATGGTATCTGCTGAGGTTTGCACAATGTCTAATGCACTTCAACGCAGGGATTAATAAATTGAGAGAGGCGCCACTTTGTCATGTGGTAAAATGGGTGGGCAGGTGGAAATATTCAAGGACATTCAGGGATATCCAGAAGCCTGTACAAGGTGGAGGTACGTTGGACACTTCTGGTAGAGTGGAACAAAACTGTCCTTTTCAGTTTCTCTGCATTTTTCCACTCTAAGGTTCAGTTCTCCACATTTCCATATCTGTTTGCAGATTTGTCCTCATAAAAATCATTAACATTTTAGTGCTCATTTCTCATAATTTCTCATGTAGATAGAAGGATGGATGGATGGATGAATGATAGGGCTTTCATATCATCATGTGGCTCAGATATTTTAGGATTTTCTGTTCACAACTTTTTTTCTTGGGGGCATGGGATGGGGGAGCTGCCTATATAGCAAAAGGTCAAAATTAGATGGGGAGAAAAACGACAGAGTTCATTAGACATCATTACGTAAATAATTTCCTTAGCCAATCTGTTAGAGCATTAGCAAGTACAAAAAAAATAGAAAATAAATGAGGGGGTGTATAGTAGAGGAGACAAAATAAGAAGGGAAAATATTTAAAGAGCAAAAGTTTGTTGAAGCCACTTTACTGCGAATGGGTTGTAGTAAAGCATAAGCTATTACAATTAATGCATTTTTTTTAATATACACATTTTTGCAAATGAATATCCTAAATATAATGCGCCAATATAGGCATTTGGTGCACACTATGTGCGCACGTTACTTGATTGAAGAACTGCACTGTAAAATGTGAAGAAGTATGAATTTCAAAAGACTGGCGTGTTTCAGTTTGCTTATTGTTTCCAAAAGTGTGAATTAGGTAGGTTTGATTTTAAATGCAAAGGAAATCAAATTTACTCCTCTTCCCTAACTGCTGACTGGTCACTTGCTTTGTATGTGCCCTGCACCTTTGGCAGATAAATCATTTATTAAACTTGCAAGTGATTTGGGTTCAGTAATGAAATCTACACATATGCTGAGAGACTTTCCCAGGGTCAACTAGTGAGCTTCGTGGCTGAATACAGATTTGAACCAGGGTCACCCCGGTTTAAATCTGGCACTCTAACCACTATGCTACACTGATTTAAAAAGGGAAAGGGACCCCTGACCATTAGGTCCAGTCGTGACCGACTCTGGAGTTGCAGCGCTCATCTTGCTTTATTGGCCGAGGGAGCTGGCATACAGCTTCCGGGTCATGTGGCCAGCATAACTAAGCTGCTTCTGGCGAACCAGAGCAGTGCACGGAAATGCCGTTTACCTTCCCGCCAGAGAGGTACCTATTTATCTACTTGCACTTTGATGTGCTTTTGAACTGCTAGGTTGGCAGGAGCAGGGACCAAGCAACGGGAGCTCACCCCGCTGCAGGGATTCGAACCGCCGACCTGATCGGCAAGTCCTAGGCTCTGTGGTTTAACCCACAGTGCCACCTGCAGCCACCCTACACTGATTTACAGTTATACAAATGTGTTTGCATGCTTAGACTTCCTAACAATGCCTCAAATGGTTTAGAGCATGTTTTGAATGCCCAAAGTAAGAGACTCTTACTGCTTTTTGTTGTTGTTCTGCTTGTCCCAGCTTCAGCAGAGTTATCACTTGCAGGTCAACTCTGAAGGATAAAGGAGTGATATTTCATTTAGATAATAAAGTTGTACTCAAGGCAGAGAGTAAACAACCCCCTTAATCATAGTCATTCAGGCAGCAAGTTGGGGCTTTTATGCTACGGTGTGCAAGCCAGAGTGTACATATCTATGTCACTTAAATCTTAGTCCAAGAAGAATCATGCAGCTGGTACATTGTCTCATTTGCTGTTCCTAAAAAAAGTTCCATTTCTGGACACCAGAAATGAATGTGTTTACTCAAATGCTATCATTTTGTACCCTGAAAACAGTGGTTTCCACAAGGCATAGAAATGGTTATCAAGACAGGTGGACACCTGAAGATGTTTCCAGATGAAAGGTTTTTTATTTCAGTGCTGCTTTCTTTCAGCTGTTTACTACCTTTACTATATCCTTGATGCCATAGTATATAAGCCAACATGCCCCCTGGCACACCTGGAAATAACCCTTTTTTTGTTTAATTGCAACATTGCAGATGCTGATCACACAACCTTCAAAGCATTTGCATGGGGAGGGGGAATAAGGATCAAACACAGTTAGAATAGGATGGGGATGAGACCATAAAAAGAGCTCTTCCGGATCAGGTCAAAAGGCATCTAGCCCAACATCTTGTCCTCACAATGGGCAACCCAGATGCTCAGGGGAAGACCGCAAGTAGAATCTGAGTGTGACAGCACACAGAGAGCACTTGTGATAGAAAATAGTCAAGATGGGAGGAGGGATAAAGATAGAAAATGGGAATTATTCAAAATAGCATGGGTGGGTGTGTCCCTTGATGTTTTCTGTTGACATTACAGGTACCATCAAAGCAGTGCCCATGATACTGAGAAAGTCATTTTTACCGTACTACAGGAGTCGGCAATGCTTTTGTAGCTTGGGCCGGTTCACGGTCCTGCAGACGCCACAGTGGGCCGTGGGTGCACACACACGCACGCAGGTGCAAATGCTGTTTCCGGCACTTCTTCCAGTGCAGAGGAGACATGCACAGCTTCCCATTGACTGCAGGAGCTTCCTACAAAAGAAGCCGGCCAGCATCGCAGAAGGCGGTCCCCACACTGCTCTGCGCCAGTTTAGTGCGGCGCACAGGAGCCAACCGAGCAGGCGGTGGGAGTCCATGGGCCGGTTAAACAACCCCCATGGGCCGCTTGTGGCCCATGGGCCTTAGGTTGCTGACCCCTGCTGTACTACTAAGGCAACTAGACTGATAAAGGGGATGGAGCAACACCCCTATGGAGAAAAGCTACAGTGTTTGGGACTTTTTAGTTTAGAGAAAAGAGGGAGGGAAAAGTAAGGGAGGGAAATGACAGAGGCGTGTTAAATTTTTCAAGAGAAGGAAATAGAGAAAGCTTTCGTCCCATCTCTCAAAGCGCTAGAATTTAGGGACAACCAATGCAGCTGAATTCTGGAAGATTTGTGGTCGGAGGCAGTGATGCTTCTGAACACCAGTTGCTAAAAAACCCTGGTGGGGGAGAGTGCTCTTTTGCTCAAGTGCTGCTTTTGGGTTTCCCACAGGCATCTGGGGGGCCACTGAGAGAATGGGATGCTGGACTGTATGGGCTACTGGCCTAATTCAGCAGACTCTTCTTATGTTCTTAAAAGGAAATGCAACAGTTTCAAATGCCGAGGGCATGACTAGCATAACATATACAGTCATACCTCGGGTTACAGACGCTTCAGGTTGCATTTTTTCGAGTTAAGGACCACTGGGTTACTTCTGGGTTTCGGCGGTCGTGCATGTGCAGAAGTGCTAAATTGCGCTTTGCACATGTGCAGAAGCGCCGAATCACAACCTGCGCATGCGCAGATGTGCCACTGCGGATTGTGAACACGTGATCGCACAGATCACGTTCGCAACCCGAGCTTCCACTGTATGGGGAAATTGGTTGGCAAAAGCATGGATATTAGGAGAAATATACATGCTGATTTAATTTCCAACAAATATGGAAATGTGGAGAGCTGAACTTTAGAGTTGAAAAAATGAGAAACAGAGAAAAAACCAAAATTGACAGACTGGCCCATCGCTAGTTTGGGATAACAGTGATTTTCATCACTTCAGGGTTGGAGGGAGCAACGCACAAATAACTTCTGAACTATGATATGCATATTTTGCCCATCAAGTCTACTTCTAATTCTCAGATATTTTAGAATAAGCTTTTTGTCTCTGCGTGAAGAAATGCCCATTCTGTACCCATTTTATCTATTTTGTCTCATTGCTCCTGTTGTTTGGGTAACCTAATAAGATGTATTTTTCTCTCAGTACCTCTTTTTCCACCTGAGTATATTATGAGAGCAATTTTGTATCTCTAGCGGCTACAAAACAGCTCTTCAGACCCCAGCCTGAATTATGGTCATTATACAAAAAAAGACCCATCATTCCCAAGTATTACTGTTAGCTGGATGCCTCATTGCAGGGGTAGAGAGAGTGGTCTTCCCTTCTGAAAAACCTGTAAAGTTCAGAACAGGGGTCTTCCGGGTTGGCGCCATCGATAATGGCGGATTCCCTCTGAGTCTCTGAGGGACTAGCTCCGCGAGATCGGATCCTACCGCTGCGGCGAAGCAGGGGCCCTTTAAAAATCACAGGCGGGTGAAGCCTGTGAACGTGGGGACTCGGCGGGCACCTTTTGCGCCCCCCCAAGTCGTGAAAGGACTCTTTTT